AAAAAAAAAAAAAAACAAAGACTTTGTTGTACGTCTTGTTCGTTGACGCCATTGCAGCACTTTGTCATTCAAACTCGAAAGCTCGAACGTAGAGGGACCAACAAAAAGGACCACCAACTATAAAAAATGTGAAGATAATACTATATCTTTTTATATAAATTTTGGGTTTCAATTTTCAAGTTTTGTAAGTTTTTTTATTTTATTTTAAAATTTTGTCTTATACTTATTAATAAATATGTTCTAATAAAAATTAGCATATTCTCTTTATTCCAGAATAATAGATGTTTTTTATTTAAAATTTATCCCAAAATAATAGTGGTTTTTTTTCTTAATTTAAGGAAGACAAATAGTTTATTTCTACTTTAACCTTATGATTATCTCTTAACTTTAATTATTTATATTATGATTAAAGTAGATATTTATTTTTAGTTATTTTTTAAGTATAACATAGGTAAAAATAAAAATTGTTTCCAAATCCTTAATTTGAAGATAAAATAAAAAATTTATTATTCTAATATAGAGGGAATAATATTTAAGTAATAAAATTTATTGATTTTTTATTATCACAAAAAATTATATAATTGATATTATTACTGTTGAGCATCGTTATTAAATAGATATTTTCAATACTACAATAGATTCCCAATTGTAAGAATTGAATTGTAGATTTAGTGAGAATGTAATGGAACTATTGATTCTTAGTGGTGCTTTAGATCTTAAAAACGGGTGCAAGAGTTTTAGTATTGATCATATTTATGAGCTTGTAGAAAAATACTATTCTCAAAATTTTTTCAGAGATGGAGAAACTTTATTCCAGATCAAAGCTTCAACATTATGAGATTGAAACAAGTTGTGATCAGAGTTTTCAAAATTTGTCAAATATTTATGAGTTATGTTAATGGCTTGTGGAAATAAGAAAATTAGAGGTCTACAATCTTATTTACAAGTTAATTACTTTGGTAGTTACTCTTTTAGTTTTTACGGCAACAACAGAAAGAGCATTTTCTGTTATGAAAATTATGAAAACAAGATTTCGCAGTAAAATAGAAAATGAATTCCTTTCAAACTCTTTAATTGTTTATATTGAAAAGGAAATAGTTCAAACATTTAGTATAGATTCTATTATAGATAGATTTTGTGATATGAAGACTCATTGAGTATTATTTTAATTTATGATATAAAATTAAAATTTTGAAATTATTATGTATTATTTTGAGACTTAAAAATTCGACTCCTTTGACTAAAATTCCTAGCTCCACCATTGCCTAACATCGTTACAGATGGATCAAGGAATGGGCAAAACTTTTCTCATGATAATTGATGATTTCCAGACATATGTGCACATGGATATTAATTTTCCTATTAAAGATTGACCAGTAATTGGAACATATAATCTGATGAGTTTGTGATTTAGTTGGGAAAAAAAAAAAGATAAGAGATTTTAACTTAGAAATCTTGAATTCAAATTTTGAATTTAATAAGAAAAGATAAGAGAAGGTTGAAGGGAGAGGTTTTTTTTTTTATAATTTATTATTTAATTTAAAAAAACTATATTTTAATTTTTTAAATAGGTTAATATAAGAAAATAATTCTTTATCAATTCTTTAATTTCAATGTGAATTGAAATTAAAAAAAATATTTTTCAAATACATAAATTGATTCAGACATATAAGAGTTAAACAAATAATAATAATAACAATAACAGTAACTCCTCGAAGACATCAAAATTGAGCAGCTCACCTACCGTTCCATTAGCAAATGTTTCATCACTTGTGATGAGGAACCATAATCCTACCTACCGTTCCCACCATGAAAGTGTAGAAAGGTAAGTTGCCCAGACTTTTAGCTCCGATCTTGCTTTTATTTAGACCCATGTTCTTCTGTAATTTGGAGAACCACTGCTCTCTTCAATTCCCACCGTCTCCATACTTTTTGGGATGGATTCAACCACAAATGATCTAGTCCATGAGTTCCCACCCTTTCTCAAAGTTTATAAAGATGGTCGCGTTGAAAGATATGCCTTCATGGGCACGGACCCCATCCCTGCAGGCCTCGACCCAAAGACTGGAGTCCAATCCAAAGATGTCGTAATCTCTCCGGAAACTGGTGTCAAGGCTCGAATTTTCATGCCCAAAATTGACCAGCCCGGCCAGAAGCTGCCTCTCCTCATCCACTACCACGGCGGAGGATTCTGTATCGGATCAGCCTTGGACAATGTAGCTTGGAATTTTCTCACCTACCTAGTTTCACTAGGCAATATGATGGCCATTTCAGTTGAGTACAGGTTAGCCCCAGAACATCCTCTGCCTATTGCTTATGACGACTCATGGGCCGGGCTGCAATGGGTTGCATCTCACTTCAATGGGTCAGGGCCTGAACCGTGGATCAACGAGCATGCGGATCTCAACCGGGTTTTCTTGTTGGGTGAAAGCGCTGGGGCCACTATCACTCACGACGTGGCCGTCCGAGCTGGTGCCGTGGGATTAGTCGGATTAAAGGTTGTCGGAATTCTCATGGTGCATCCATTTTTTGGAGGTAAAGAGACAGATGAAATGTACAAGTACTTGTGTCCAACTAGTAGTGGGCGTGACGATGACCCGAGATTGAACCCGGTAGTGGATCCGAATTTGGGTAAGATGGCGTGCCAAAGGGTGATGGTTTTTGTGGCGGAGAAAGACTGGCTGAGAAATAGGGGACAGGCTTACTATGAAACATTGGGTAAGAGCGGGTGGGGTGGGACTGTGGAATTTTTCGAGAC